CCCCCCCCCCCCCCCCCCCCCCAATAGCTCTGGTTAATCTATAGCAAGACTGAGGAAGTTTTGAGACAAAGTTTTTTTTGAATGTCTATTATGCAGGGACTTTCCAAAGGTGTAGAGGTTGAGGTTGAAATCTAGTACAGAAAGAAAGCTGGAAATTCAAAGTCGGTTGGGAAAAAGTACGACAAGATGAAGACTGTGGTTGGAGGAAAGTATCTCTATGGTAACAGCAGGTTTTGCCAAGGGAGGAGGAGAGGTGAAGGAAGCTTGCTGCTTCTTTCTGGTGCCTATTCAGTTGGATCACAAATTACATGACTGACGGGACAGAATATTAATGAAGAGATTGTGGGCGAGACAGAGAGACTGATAGATACATGGACAGATGATGGTATATAATATGTACACAGAATGGATAATGTGATTCATGCTTGACGAGGTGCATGCTTTATAAGTGGCTTAGAATATGAGGACTGTATTCATTATATAATTAAAGGTTTGCCAGCAGGAGATCTGTTGGTGTTTATTTTAATCTGTGTTTACCTATTTGTGGAGGCCGAACAAATTGGTGGTAGATGGAAGAGAGGAAATGAGAGACACCTGTGCAAAGTCAAAAAGAAATGAACTCTCTGCAGAGCAGACCTGTCAATGCTAATGTGAGTTGTGATGAAAGAGAGAGAGAGAGCTCTACTGCTCCATATCCTCAAGTGTCATTTTCCCAAAAGCCTCCTTTAGAAGCCCACACTGATCCTCTTTGTCATTTGGATTTGTGATATAATGATGGACTGGGTTTTTGAAGTGCTTTCCCAAGTGCTCAGCACACTTTAGATTGTGATATTCCGTCAGCACGACCACTACAGATGGTTATCAATGCATCAGCGCCGGAGCATTCAGGTGCAGGTCTGTTGCTTTGGTGGCCAAAGTGTTTTTAGTGCCATATTTAACCCACCCTGTTATGTAGGACAATTTATGTGCATCAGCATTGTCTTTGGAGAGTTGAGGAATAATACCAACCAATTAGTGATTAAAGGCTAATTGTGGCTTTAGTTTAGGTTAACACCCCTTCTATTGTAACACATTCCACTGAATACTGGTGAACTGCAGAGGAGTGTGATTGCCAATACCATTTTTTAAACCATTTAAATTTTTTCCACGATACCTATAATGTGTCTCCCAAAAATGTATAGCTCTTTAAAATCAAGCACAGATTCTTTGGATGAGGTTGCATTTACGGATTGGCCCTAATCTTTAATGCCTGTGGTGGTTAACAGGAAACCAAGTTGCTGGAAAACCATGTTTGCATGACTGAGGTATTATTAATTTATTGTTGTCATGACAATAGGCACAAAATATCTCATGAGAGGATGGGATGAAAGATTAAACTAGAGCAGATGGTAAAAGGACTGTGAGCTCGTTTTTAGAGAAGAATCTGTGCCACTACAGGTCTGTGGTTGACTGCTGCCTACAGCCCATACAGATGTAGAGCCCATACAGATGTAGAGCCCATACAGATGTAGAGCCCATACAGATGTTTAGCAACACCATGACTGGGATGCAACTTCTCTCCACTCTCCTCCTCTTCAACTACTCTGACTCACAGACCAGCACACATTATTCAACCAACAGAAACGAGCTCCTCGACTGACTTGGAAGCCAGTGTTGCTCTAAATATTACTGTTCTGTTGCTGATGAGCTCTCCTAAACATGGAACATTTCTGATTGCAGGTAATTATATTGCTTCCTGGAATGAAACATGCATACGTTACATTTCAATAACATCAATATGGAAATGTTCAACAAACACACACAGGCCAGCTCAGTGGTGAAACTGTCGTTCCTGTAGTTGTAATGAGCTTTTAAAAGTATAGTTATTCGTAATTGCTTTCAGGGAGATAATTATTGCAGAGGAGGGGCCCAGCTGCACGGTCTGTTAGCTCAGCTCATTATGGGCAGTCAGCAAGCACTTGAGTCTGAGAGGAAGACAGCCAGATCTGAGTCCCATCTGGTGCCTCTGATGCTAGGATGGCACCATGTTACCACCAACTTCACCAGTGGCTGGCTGCTGTGGAAAGTGTCCACATTGTTAAGTATACAACACTAAATCATGCAGTGTTGTTTGTGCCTCAGCACATATAGATGGATGAGATTCATTAGTGGGGTTGGAGCTCTTAGGAGCAACCAGGAAACATTAACCAGGGGAAAAATGCTTCCGTGAAAATCTTTTAGGAGATCCCACCAGCAAGGTGAAACCCATTTCAATGATTCAAGGATAATTTATAATTTATTGTCATTATGCAACATGGGGTTGCACAATAAAATACAGTTGTAGCCCATTTGCTACACAAGAAAAACATGACAGACAACATAAAACAGTAGTGCATTCCGGAATTTTTAAATTTGCGTCAGGAGGAATGTAACAACAAAACAGTTTTCTGGGCAGAGAATGTGGCCTACATCTTAAAATTAAAAATTTGACATCAGGGAAACATTGTTCATCAACTTTGACTGTGCTTGAGCACCAAGCATCATTGATGTAAACACAGAGTCCGCCTCCTCTTGTCCCGCCATGGTCCTGTGCTCTGTCCTGCAGCTTGGTCCGGGATGGCCTGATGGAGCCAGGTCTCTGTAAAGATGTGGCCAAAAAAGTCACTGACCTCCCGTTGCTGGGTTCGCCTGAATATTCCTGTGAGTGAACATTAGTCAGGAGCAGACTGGGTGATGGAATAGCCTTAGGTCCTAGCCGGGTTAGCTTAGCTTCCATCTCTGCTCTCCTCCTTCTTCTTCTTTGGCAGTCGACTTTCGCTTTTGGTGGCGTTTGGTCCAGCAGGTCCGGCTGAGTGTTCGGCTGTGGGCGGTGATCGTATCAAGGTCCGCTCCTCAGACGCCATACGTACTCCAACTACCTTGCCACCTGGTTTCAGAGCATCAAATACAAACAGGATATTTCCACATCTCCTCTAAACCAGACAGCCATTAATGTGCCTACAGGCTGAAGAGCAGCCAGTTGCTTGAGGAAACTAACCTCAGCTAACACTTTGCTCATGCCATCGTCACTCATGACAAACCGCCTGCTCCTGCCTCATGTCATGTTGATGAAACTGAAGTACCAGGCAGCAGGATTCTGATGCAGCTTGGGCACATTCTGTGTGGCCTGCTGTGTTACTGAACAACTCACCCCTCAAATGACCCTTGAAGCACAATGATTACATCAGTGACATTTCTGGGCAAATATTAGCAACCACCAGAGACTCGCAATATCCGTTGTTCATCTGCAATGTCTGCTTAGCTTTGTTTTTTTTGACACAAATGCTACTGCATGTGATCTTCCGGGCAGCAATGTGATGGTTCAGATAGAATACGCAATAGAGCACAGTCAAAAAAAACGGAAACAGACAATGTTACAACAGACAATATATATGACAATTTACAATCATGCAAAAGTAAAACCACGAAGCAATCCACTAGAATCCTTGTGTTAGTTGAGTGTGTTACTGTAGGGAGGAGTGGGTGGTGAGCCTCTGCTTTTAATAGACATTCTGCCTCTGTCGCTCATTCTTCTGCCTACCTCTTGATCACAAAAGCTGCCAAATATATCCAGCGGTGGTAAAAGAGGCTGTTGTGTGAACACAAGCAGGCTATTTATAGACTCTGTTCAGCTACAATATGAGTCCATATTTGGTCAACACAGTATGGATCTCCTGTAAACAATATATTGTATCTGCTTGTTATCTGTGGGATCACGTTGCTGTATACAAGTCTTCAAGTCTATAAGTATTCAGTACTTGATTGCTAATTTCTCTTCTTGGTTTCAAATTCCAATTGTTTGAAAAAGTCTAATCTATACAGTATGATTATTATAAAAGGTAAGTGTTTTACATAAGAGCATTGAGTGAGCCCTTCAGATTGCACAAGAGCTTGTGCATAACGGCTGTTTGCCATCATGTTTCTCTCCCTGTTCCCCATCTCCCATCCTCTCTCCACGCTCTCCTCTCCTACAGATTAGTGACTACACATCCATCAACTCTCTAGATAAGACTGTCTCCTTTGGAAAAGCCTCATTAAAAACACAAAACAGCCAGACTTGCTGGACACATGTTACAGGTATTACTCTTCACATGGTAAGAGTTTGTTTGCAGAACAAGCTAAAATCAGCCATTTGTTTGTCAGTTTGCCTCTACACTGTAGCTGAGCTGGAATGTGTGTGTGTGTGTGTGTGTGTGTGTGTGTGTGTGTGTGTGTGTGTGTGTGTGTGTGTGTGTGTGTGTGTGTGTGTGTGTGTTTACTTATTATAGTAGTCCACATCACTCTCTGACTTTTTGTGAAAATAGGGCCGTCCTTGTGGCATGGATCTGTTTAATTTGTACAGGCTTAGAGTTAGAGAATACAGTCCTTTGTTACTTCCATCTATCTTGTAACCCATCGTTGACCTATGTTATTAATAGCTATACAACATCTGTCTCTTAAATGTGTTGGAAATTGGAAATCTTGTTTCTTAGGAAGGTTGGATTCCAGTACAATGTTACCATTTCTGTTACTGGCTCCAGCCCCATGCTGGGGCGCCGTGTTGTTGTGAGCTTGTGTCTGCGTACTAACTGTGTGTTAGTTCTACCATATACTAAGTGCTGTGTCTGCGTATCTGTGGCTGTGCTGCCAGCAATGCTGTTTTCCTGGTTTCCAATGCTCCTCAGGCCCTGTAATGCTGTAATGGCACATCTAATTGTATCATCAATCGCTACCAATGACATGTGCCACCAAATAACTGCAGTCTTATGCACTTGCACACACACTCACACACAAACAAATATTACAAGTACAATGTTACGACATCCTTAAAGCTACACTGTCAAGGAACGCTGAAAAAAGAAACATTTACCTTCTTACATCCATGGGCCCCAGATTCATTAAATGATACTAAACTGTCAGAGAAAAGTCCGGTCCATGCTACGTTCTTGTTTCCAGGTTGAGCAGGAGATTTCACTTGTCCAGAGGAAGATGTCTGATCTTGAGTCGGTGCTGCAGCAGAAGGATGTAGAGTTGAAGGCCTCAGAGAGCCAGAGGACCATCCTGGAACAGGACCTGGCAACCTACATCACAGAATGCACTGTGAGTAGCCCTGTAGCCACTACAGGGGACACACATGGACTGTTGTACTGTGCCAAATATGCATGTGTGTGTGTGTGTGTGTGTCTGTGTCTGTGTGTGTGTGTGTGTGTGTGTGTGTGTGTGTGTGTGTGTGTGTGTTTTTTTTACATGTCTGTGTGCATACAAGCATAGTAGTGCTGGGAGATGTTGCCTAAAAAAGCACATCACATCTCGTTTTCTTAAAAATTAACTAGGCCTACAAAAGGCAAAGGATTTGTTAACTTTCACTAAACTTTAAACTTAAAATAGATAAAAGATGCTTGTTGATAAATGCAATACAGCGGGGAAGGTGTTGATTTATAAAAAAACAAAAAAGATGCTGGTTGAGAAGTAAATTTATTGCATCCCAAAGAATAATGTTTAATTAGCGCTCACATGCTTCTCATTTGGGAAACTATGAGAAAATGCAAATGTTATACACCGCTAATGTTACCTGGTGTTTTAGGGCTGCTACCGTCTTGTGCAACTCACAGTGCCACACACTTCTCTCACTCGGCTGCATGCCTCTGTTTGGAAACCTGGAATAGATAGAACAGTTTTTAGTTGCCACAGACTTTAGAAAAACTGAAGAGCGGACAGTTTTGATTGAGGTTGCTGAGGCAACGGTGCCTTTTTTTGGGATCAAACTTTTCACTTTACCTCAAAAATACCATAAAGTAGAATCAACACCCATTTAGAAGTATTTCAACCAAAACTTCTCATTATAGTCATTGCAGAGTTATATGTTGCATTTTACATTTCATTTAGTTTTAGCTGGGTGTACCCAACAAACGATCCACCGACTGAACATTTGTATGTCTTGGTTTCAGAGTCTAAAGCGCAGTTTGGAGCAGGCTCGTATGGAGGTGTCACAGGAGGACGATAAAGCTCTGCAGCTCCTGCATGACATCCGGGAGCAGAGCAACAAGCTTCAAGAGATCAAAGAGCAGGTAGGACGGCATCTTGGGTGTCATTGAATCAGTGGGTTGAAATGTATACTATTTACTCCTAACAATGTGCGCTCAAAACTTAAATCCCTCATCAACTATCTAACATCAGTCACTTAAGATCTCATTCAAGTTTTGTTCATTGTGCTATTCTTGAAACAAATGAAATGATCTCCGTTTAGTGGTTTGAACTCAGTACTTCTTCACTATCTGCAGTGACGGGGATACTAGATTGTATGTAATGCATAAAGCAGAAAAGCCAAAAGAATGATCTTTTAGTAAAGAAGCAGGTTAGGAGTATTTCATAATGAAAGTCAGATGGAGCAGGTCAAGTCACCGAGGCTGAGTGTGTGGGGTGCGAGTGTTGATTAGACAGACACATGAGTGCAGTCAGTATAACACCTCAACATGTTCATAAATGCCTCATATGACAGTACCCTAGTTAGGTAAGTTGTTGTTGTGATTGTTGCCAATCCTTTTTACAACAACATAATGATGCAGGTCATCGCCAGTGTTTCATTGAAAATGGTTTGTATATCACGTGGCTGTGAACATTTCAAATATCAGAGGAGTTTGAAGGGGAAAGATTGACTTTACAATTCATTGATGAATGAACTTTAACTTAAATGTATTGTTTATTCAGTTATTTGCAAGAAGAAAGGAGTGCACTAGTTAATTAAACAATCAGTAGTCGTCTGTATAACGTGTAAAGACTGCGTCTGCTGGGTCAACTCGGTGTGAATCCCTCCGGAATCAGGAATGCTAATAATGGAGAAAGAGACAGGGGAGCTACACCCGTAATTACTGAAATCAGATGTGATGAGTGTGTATGAGTATGAGTGCCCGTGTGTCTACGTATACGTATGTCTGCGTGTGTGGCAGCACCATATGACCGAGTGTTGCCAACTGTGAGAATTAAGCTGTCACAAGATTGACAGTTTAGGACAGAAGATGAAGAATCATCTTCCTGGCGTTATGCACCGTTTTCCTTTTTTCTTTTTTTTTTAAAGGTAATAGAAAAGCAACCTGTTTTTCTCAGCCTACACTAGTGCCGGTTACCAAGCACTGAATACATTGTGCAGTGGTTGCTATGGTGATGAGAGCCATATACCTACGAGTGTTGAGAGCACTGATGCAGTGGGCAGGCTGTCGTGATGAGGTGCTGGGGCCTCGCATTGTTTAAGAAACAGAACATCACCTAATATACCTCAATAATTATATTATGTATCTATGTGAAAGGAATGCACCCTGTCCCCGAAGAGAACTTTTATTCATCTCTTAATAAACTCCTCATGGTGAGGAAGAAAATCTGCATTTAATAACATATACTGCGCACACACTTTACTTTCCAATGTAGAAAACGCAATTTACTAGCCCAATTGATCTTAACTCAGTAAAAATTGGGTCGGAGTTATGCATTACATGTATACAATACTTTATTAAAAGGAGGGTGTTGCATGCAATCTAAAAGGATTTTGGATTTGCTCCTTGGCAAGAGAAGCCAGATGAAGTAGTCCAGGCAGAAGCCCCCTTGCTGCCCCCCTTTAGAGGTGTAGTTGGGCGCCCATTTGAACATTGAAACAGGTACTTTCTATTTTTCATTCTTACTATTAATTTAGACTTACACTGTGATCACAGTATGAAGGGATCTTTTAATGGCCAGGATGCACTGAAGGAATGATTACAGCAAGCAAAAACTTCAATTTCAACATTCATATGAGTTCATATGACTATTGTTTTAAGGCTAAAACCTATACAGGTTATACCTGAAACAAACTACGGTTTGAAGACAAATGTGTTTATACCTGTTCCAAATGGTTACATTCGTAGGTTGGGTCAAAAAGCCTGCCTATACTTCCCACTGCCGCCCTGAGCTCGCTCCTCTGTGGCTGCATGTCTTCACTGTCTTGATGCAATAAATTGTTCAAATGGGGATAAGGAGGAACACTTTCAGACAGTCTCTCCTCGAATGCCTCGATGGTGTTGCACTGACGGAAATAGTTGTGTGAAAAATGAAAAAATGAGACCTCGACTGAGAATGTCAAGTCCTGTCTTCTTTGTCACCTCCACACACCTGGCCAGTTGCTGCATGATTGTCACATTGTCTTTTTTGGAAAGACACAAAAAATGTTAGATGCAGACCCCCCAAGTTTCAATGTGCGAAAGGGGTGTCAGACCCTGTTAGACTATCCGCCTTGCTGCTCATTTTAAGCATAGTGAGGCCTTTGGGGATCCCTAGGGAGGAGCTGGAGGAGGTATCTGGGGAAAGAGGTGTTCAGGTGTCGCATACTTGTCTTCAGCAATATTGCTATTTTAATTTTAGTTTGTGCTAATGCATATCATGTGGCTCTGTGTTCCCATCGGTGCCTCTCAACTGGCTATTTATTTACTAAAGCTAAATCCAGCATTTCATCTTGAAAAGCATCTGTCTCCTACGCCTTGTCATATGACTGCAGTGTTTATTATTTTCATGCAGAAAGCTTGCAGTGTTGGATCAACAAACAGGAGAGATTTGGGATGGATTCATTTTTAAAGAAATGCAATCTGTGCCAAAGCTAATAAGACCTGCAAATATATGCAAAGAGACAATTTCACAAAGAATAACTATGGAAAACTACACTGTTTGAACACAAAAAGGTTAGAAGGTAAAAGCACTTTAACAGTCCCTAAATATAGTTTGTATTAGCCCCAAGACAGTGGATACACAGATGATTACTGTTTATAAGATCTCTGGAAGGTATTAAATCTGTAAATCTGATAACCTGAATGAACCATGGACAGAACATTCGTTGTACCAATGATTCTTTGTAATAAAATGATACCGTGATTCAGCACTCCACAAGCCCTTAGTGGTTTACCTTCATTGAAAGCTGAATTCTCCTTTCTTTAATTTCGTTATTCTGAGTCATTGTTTTGCCGAAGAATTACCAACATCTGAAAATGAAAGTTAGTATCCAGGAGATCCACTCAATTCTAATTGATGGGAGCTGTCAACCAAAATAATCTGTGTTTTTTCTGACCTGACCGTCAGAAGTCAGTTCCCATTCATAAGGAAGGCCAACATGGGAGACAGTTTACTTAAGAGATTCATTCACGGTTATTTATTCAACCTCCCGTTTCACTTCAGCTAAACTGTTTTTGTTTTCATCATGTCGGATGTTGTTGACTTGTCCTAATCTGTGTCGGTTGAGCATCAGTTTCTTGGATGCAGATTACCCTGACAGCCTGATGAGGAGGGTGAAATTGGATCTGTTGGGCTGTGACTAAATACTCTTAAACAGACATGTGCTTTAAGTGACTCTGACTGATTCATTTTTTCTTTACACTTCCCTTTCTTTGTTCATTGCCTTTTTATATTGGTGCAGTTATACTTGATACCATTTTTAGAGTGTCTCTGTACTCCCTGAGAGAAAATATTTGACATATAATGGCTCTCATACAAGCTTTTTAATTACATCCATCGAACCTCGTCATCGTGTGGAGTTTTAAAGTGCTTCTGTACAAGCAGCACATTTAAAATACATCTCTTATGCATTAGTTTGTTCTCATAAATGATGCAGTGGCTTCTAACAAGAACATTTTCTTCAAACAAGTTTAGGTTAAACAACATTGGGTCTGATGAAGAAGTTATTTTTCACTTAAGACGAAAAGTCACTTTCTCTGAATTTGATGCACTGGCAGAGGGGCACTTTTAATGGCTGCTGAAGAAAAAGTTCAATGTTAATTATGAATGAAGTGCTTACAAGTAGCCCGAATTTGAAAAGATTGTGTCCCATTCCAGGTACTTTTCGGCAGGGGTATGTGCTCTACTAAGTGGAATTTACTTTGATATGTCCTTTCTTAATGTTATTGCTCCTTTTGTGTGTGTGTGGAACTATTGCTCCTCTCCTCTCTTCTCGTCTCCTGTCCAGTCCTCTCATCCTCCTCCCCTCCTCTCCTCTTCCCTCTCCTGGCCTCTTTGTCCTCTCTCCTCTTATTTCGGGGTTTCTATGTATTTTCTTTTTGTGCAGGAATATCATGCCCAGCTGGAGGAGATGCGAGTGTCCATACGACAGCTGGAGGAGGACCTGTCTGCTGCCCGACGCCGCAGCGACCTGTACGAGTCTGAGCTGAAAGATTCTCGGCAGAACAGCGAGGAATTGAAGAGGAAGGCTGCGGACTACCAGCATAGGATGCAGAAGGTCGACACCGTTAATTATGCTGACATTTGCTTAGAAAGAGGTTATCACGTGTAACTCAATGTCACAATATGATACAATCATATTTAACTCGCCTGTAGTCATTATGTTCTACGTTACTGTCGACTTGCCATGATCATTACCAGGAGGGATCTCAGAGTTACTTTTATCTTCACAGGTCAAAGAGCAAGGCAAAGCAGATACAGAGGAGACAATCACCAAGATAGAGAAGGTAGGAAGTTCATTTCATTGTAATTAGATTCTGTCATTGGTGAGGATGGCGAAATATGTCTCGATAAGGACACTGACAAGTTCAAGTGACATTGACAAAGGATGATAAGCTTGAATATCTTGCTGTCTTTACATATCACAATGACTACATTTTTTCTTCTTTAGGCCAGTGCTGAGCAGCAGACCAAGATCCAGGATCTTCAAGAGAAGCTTGCCAAGGTAGAATAGCTGTGCTGGGAAGATTAATGCATAATTTATATGAGCCTGTGCTCCCAAATGCAAGAGATGTAACAGCATTTTACCCTTTCAGATGAGTGCATTAACGTCTTCTTTACCCTCCCTGACCTCATTCTTTCTCTCTCTCTGTCTCTCTCTTAAACTGTGGTCTACAGTCAGATTTGGTCTTTGGCCCGGGAACTATTAAGCTGTCTATTTAAAACTAGAGTTACTGCTTAATTATCAGCAATCAAAAGATAATTTAGTCTTAATTGTCTTTTCCTAGAAATGAATATTTAAAAGTGCCATCCTTCCTGCAAAGACCACACGAGGTTGTGGTGCTGATATTCAGGGCTGACTGAGCCCATATTAGGAATGGATCTACTTCTGACTCAATGCAAACTAGTTTACGAAATAATAATGCAACTTTTTCTTAAAATAACTCGGCGTAGTTTGATTTTATACAAGCAATATATTGCATTATTGTACACACTTATTATACTGGTACATGTTCATATGTTGTTGTTTTTTTAAGTTGACTTAATTGATAATTAAATTGTTAATAATCATTCTACAGTGGTATGTTACATCAGAAATTGGACATGAGATTTTGTAAACCTTCTATTACATTTGACTTTGTGTTACTAGCATGTACAAACACATGCTGTTTGAGTGATATTTTTCCTCTGACATGTAGTCGTTAAAGGCCAGTGCTGAGGCTACAGATCTCCTTCAGAGTATGAGAGTGGCCAAAGATCGCATGGAGCGAGATCTGGAGAGGCTACAGCACAAAGAAGACTCCAGTGACAGCCTGCGTAGACGCCTACGTGAGACTGAGGTACACTCACACACACACACACCCCTGTTATCATGCACGTAGTGCACATACACACAGTTTAGCAGATAT